CATGAAGGACATTATGCTAAGTGAAATAAGCCAGACACAGAAAGAAAAACACAGTATAATCTCATTTATATGTGGAATCTGAAAAAGTTGAACTCATAGAAGCCAAGAACAGAATAGAGGTTGCCAGGGCCTAAGGCAAAGGAGAAAGGAGATGTTGGTCAAAGGGCACAAAGTTCCAATTATAAAATGAATAAACTCTGGAGATAATATATAGTGTGGTGACTATGGTTAATAATACTATATCACTGGCTTGGCGTCCATAGCACAGTGGTTATGGTGTCGTCCACATACACCGAGGCTGGTGGATTTGAACCTGGCCTGGGCCAGCTAAACAACAATGGCAACTTCAACAACAACAACAACAACAACAAAAAATAGCCAGGCATTGTGGCAGGTGCCTGTAGCATCAGCTACTTGGGAGGCTGAGACAAGAGAATCACTTAAGCCTGAGTTGGAGGTTACCGTGAGCTGTGATGACATGACATTCTACCGAGGGTGGCATAGTGAGACTCTGACTCAAAAAAAAAAAATACTGTATCATTGACTTGAAATTTCCTAAGAGAATAGACTTTAAGTGTTCTCACCCCCCACACACATACACCAAGGGTAACTTTGTGTGGTGGTGGTGGTGGATGTGCTGATTAAATTGATTGTGGTAACCATTACACAATGTATAAGAGGTCTGACAATTAAGTTCCCCAACTCATCCTAGAAAAAGTGCTACATAACCTCACTGTTGAATATCACTACAGTCACCTTCGAAGTACTCTCCTTGGAGCACCAATACCTAGTCCACTCTTCAGAGCAATTTTGGAACTCCTATTCTAGAATGGCCATCACAGCTGTCGTTGTATTACCCTTGATGTCCTGACAGTCGTCAAAATGTTTTCCTTTGGGGGCAGCACCTGTGGCTCAGTGGGTGAGGCACCGGCCCCATATACTGACGATGGCAGGTTCAAACCCGGCCCTGGCCAAACTGCAACAAAAAAAATAGCTGGGTGCTGTGGTGGATGCCTGTAGTTCCAGATACTTGGGAGGTGGAAGCAAGAGAATCACATAAGCCCAGGAGTTGGAGGTTGCTGTGAGCTGTGATGCCAGAACACTCTACAGAGGACGATAAAGTGAGACTCTGTCTCTAAAAAAAAAAGTCTTCTTTTCAATACTTCCTTTACCTTTTGGTTAAAGAAGTCATTGGGGGGGCCAGATTAGGTGATGGGGGGGAGTGTTCCAAAACAGTTATTTGTTTACTAGCTAAAAACTTCCGCACAGACAGTGCTGTGTGAGCTGTGCATTGTTGTGATGCAAGAGCCATGACTTGTTGGCAAAAAGTTCAGATTGTTTTCATCTAACTTTTTCATGCAGCCTTTTCAACACTTCTAAAGAGTAAGCTTGGTTAACTGTCCAGTTGGTACAAATTCATAATGAATAATCTGGATATCAAAAAAAGGTTAGAAACATTGTTTTGACTCTTGATTTGGACTGACAGAAATTTTTTGGTTGTAGAGACTTGACTGACTTCCATCATGCACTTTGATGCTTTGACTCAGGGTTGTATCGGTACACCCATGTTTAATCACCAGTGATAACATGGCCTAAAACATTGTCTTGACTCTCCAAAAGGTCTTGGAAAACTTTAACTCTCCTTTCCTTTTGTTCATCAGTGAGCTCCTTTGGAACCATTTTTGCACACACTTTTCTCATGAAAAGATTTTCAGTTAAGTTATTCTGAACTGTTTCTCTATTGATGCTTACCTGGTCTGCTATGCTTCTCACAGTCAGCTGATGATTTTGATGCACAATTTGATAACTTTTTGCAATGTTTTCACCAGCAATGTTTTTGTTACTGGCCTCCCTGACCTCTCTTCATCAGTTTTCTCTCCTCTCAGAAAAATGCTTAATTTATTTGTACACTGCCATTTTCTTTAGGCATTATTCCCATAAACTTTGGCTAACATGTCCCTGATTTCACTTTATGGTGGCAAGTTCACAAATTTAATTGTCAGACCTTGTACATATGTTAAATCAACATGCTGTACACTTTGAATATGTACAATTAGTATTTGTCAATTATACCTCCATAAAGCTGGAAAACATTAACTTGAAATGGATCATAGATCTAAATGTAAAACAGAAAAATAAAACTTCTAGTATATAATATAGAATAAATCCCAATGTTAGGCAAAGAGTTCTTAGAGTTGACACCAAAAACCCAATCTGTAAAAGGGAAAAAAAACGATGAATTGGACATCACCCAAATTAAAAGCTTTTGTTCTGGCTCAGTGCCTATAGCTCAGCAGCTAGGGTGCCGGCCACATATACCAGAGCTGGCAGGTTTGAATCCAGCCTGGATCTGCCAAACAACAATGATAACTACAACAACAACTACAAAAAAAAATCTGGAAATTGTGGCAGGCACCTGTAATCCCAGCTACTTGAGAGGCTGAGAGGCAAGAGAATCACTGAAGCCCAAGAGTTTGAGGTTACTGTAAGCTGTGATGCCACAGCACTTTACTGAGGATGACATGGTGAAACTCTGTCTCAAAAAAGGGAAAAAAAAGCTTTTGTTCTAAGAAAGATCCTGTTACAAGAATGAAAAGATAGACACAGACTGGGAGAAAATGTTTGTAAATCACATATCAAAGAATTTGCATCCAAATGTATAAAGAACTCTCAAAAGTCAATAGTAAGAAAACAACCTAACTGAAAGTGGGAAAAAGATTTGAACAGACACTTCACCAAAAAGGATATATAGAAAGTAGATAAGCACATGAAGAGCTATTAACCATCATTAGCTATTAGGGAAACAACAATTAAAATTATGTGGCTTGGTGCCCGTAGCTCAGTGGTTAGGCCACATACACCAGGGCTGGCAAGTTTGAACCAGGTCCAGGCCTACTAAAAATGACAATGACAACTACAAAAAAAAAAAAATCTGGGCATTGTGGTGGGCACCTGTAGTCCCAGCTACTTGGGAGACTGAGGCAAGAGAATTGCTTAAGCCCAAGAATTTGAGGTTGCTGTGAGCTGTGACAGCAGTGCATTCAACTGAGGGCAACATAGTGAGACTCTGTCTCAAAAAAAAAAAAAAAAAAAAACTTATGAGACACCTGCACATCAATAGGTATTATAATGGCTTGGCGATCTTCAATACGCGCTAAATTGAGGAACCCATCTGTGTTGACATCCCCCTTGATAATCCTCTCAAAGATTCCTCACTTGAGAGAAGTTGGAACTGTCTCCTGGTTTTAAGGCTGTATTATCTAAGGGAGTGTCACACATATATACACACAAATATTTGTTCATCATTCCTTCCTCAGATACTCTTGCTTTATATCATGGAAATTCTTGTTCCCTAAGCTTTAGATCCTCTACATTTGGCCTCTGTTTCTCTTAGCTCTTAAAACCCCACTTTTGTCACCGTGCAGAACACTGATGACACTCTGTGTCAAGCTGTTTCTGGAAGCCTTGTTCTCAAAGGACATTTATGGCCCTCCTGCAGGGCCACACCTGCAGTTCCAATAGATTCCGCAAGGGGGCTGGTATTACCAAGATAAGGGCTCTTTCACTGCCTTTAGGACTTGAAGATAAAAGGAGCTAAAATGTACACAATTACTATGTCTACCTTTTTAAAATAACATCACGTTTAAATAATATTATACATGCTGACTAAACAATAATCATTTAAGTTTACCTATTATTGAAAAAAGAAAACATTTAATTCATTTCTTTTTCAGTCTACAGGGATTTGTTGATTATCCACTATGTGCCAGGCCCTGTTCTAGATACTGGGGATACAAACAGAATTTATTTGAAGCAAGATATAATACAAATGATACACTTAGACTTTCTTTAATTAGGGATGATTCTTATTTATCTGAGCTTCCTTCTGAAGCTTAACTGACACATGTATTGTCATTTTCCATGAAGGTCAAAGGTAGTGGAACTTTTATCCGTGGCAAGCTTCCCATAAAGTTCCTCTCACCACTATTTCCTGTCTAATTAACATACTTACAACAACCATCTCAGCCAGTTCTCCTAAAGAGAATTCAGCCTGTCACTGAGGTTTCTTCTACTCCATGACTTTTTTTTTTTTTTTCAGTTTTTGGCTGGAGCCAGGTTTGAACCCACCACCTCCAGTATATGAAGTTGGCGCCCTACTCCTTTGAGCCACAGGCACCGCCCTACTCCATGACTTTTTAAAGCAATGTTCATTCAATCTTTCTCCTACCATTTTAATCCATGTCCAAAATGCAAGAGACAAACCTGCTTGAGTTTATTCCCCTTCTCTGAACTTTTTATCTGCCATGATGTGGTACCTGCTCTAAGAAGTCCTTCCCTCAGCCAGGTCTTTCACAATATGTATACTTAGCCTCCCTTTCTCATGAATGTATAGTTAAAAATGGAATTCAGTTCCCACTGCTGTAAGATGTATTATGTTTGCATTTCACAGCCTGCTGTGTCCCTTTGCTAACAAAGATAAATTGCTCCTTTTCTGAACCTTTGCAACATTTTGAATAGGACAAAATAGAACACAGTAAAGTGGTTTTTAATCTGTATTTTCTTCTCAGCATTAAACAGCCTGTACACTGTAGGAAACCCCTCTCTGCTGAAATATAAGGACTTAGCAGTTCAACAAAAGAAGGGTCAAGCTTTTAGAAAGAATTTTCCAAGGCCCCAGAGTGCACATGCCAGCCTCTGGCCCAATGTGCTCTTCTTCCACATGCCAAGCAGTGCAATCCTTTGACCCTGGCTGAGGGTCTGCTCTGAGAAGTTCATGGTTCTGCTGTTTCCTCAGTTAAGATCTTTGCCATTAAAAAGACCTAGGTCTGAGGGCTCAGAGACTAGTATGGACCACAGCAGAGCTAGGAAGGGTGGGAGGTGATGGATAAGGGGGAGAGAGAGAAAAGAGTCACACACAACATTGCCCTGCTCCTTCAGTGTAGAGCAGAGATTGGGGTTGTCAGAGGTATACTAAAACTTGAACTCTTTGTTTCCCTTAGGAGCTATTCCCATTCTCTTTATACCCTACTTTCTGGTGTTCACTAAGTTTTGGTCCTTGGCTGTGCTCGCCTTAGTTTGGCTCGCCTATGATTGGAACACCCACAGTCAAGGTAAGAAAAGGAAGCAGAATGATGGTCCTGTCTGTGTCAAGGATGGAATTACAGGGAGAGTCAGGTGGAGGGAGAGAGGGGGAGAAGCAAAGGAAGGGGAGAGGAGAAAGGAGGAGAGAGGAGAATAAAGCTCATCAGGGACAGAGGTCTTTACAAGGTAACTCTGGAAGAATTAAGAGGTTGAGGTTTCTGAGCAGGTATCCCCAGCTTCAGGCTGCTTTCATTTCACCTTTCTAGCTGGCTTCAGAGGAGCAGGGGTTTACCATGTCTTGGGGGTTGGTATCAGGAACAGTACCCACATTTCTGAGTTGTGAGATCCTTCCTGTGACCTGAGGAATACAGGGAGAACTCCATCTCTGGGAGAGGTAGAGGGAGATACCCAATTTGCTCTTCCCTTCCCTTCTGTACCCACAGGTGGTAGACGTTCATCTTGGGTACGAAACTGGACCCTCTGGAAATATTTCCGAAATTACTTCCCAGTAAAGGTGACTACCCTTCCTCTGGGTGCCCAGACTCTCATTCTCTACTCAACTTCATATTTTAAAAGGGTTTGGCGGTCAACTGTGAAGGTCAAGGCCCAGAGGCATAATGCAGAGCAAGGGCCCAAGATGTATGGGCAGGTGGGGAGACAGATTGCTAACAGTCTTTCCCACAATGGCAAACATAGGTCAGACTCTGACCATCACAACCTCTGGTAATCCTATGACAATAATGACATCCCAATAAACAGAGATTTGGGGCTCCCAGAGGGAAACATAGGCTACCTGCTGGAGTTTGAGTCCACATGCCCTCTTTTCCTTCTTACCTAGCCAATGCTCTTACTCAATCTCCTTCTAACAGCTGGTGAAGACTCATGACCTTTCTCCCAAACACAACTACATCATTGCCAACCACCCCCATGGCATTGTCTCTTATGGTGTCTTCATCAACTTTGCAACTGAGGCCACTGGCTTTGCTCGGATTTTCCCATCCATTACTCCCTTCGTAGGGACCTTGGAAGGGATTTTCTGGATCCCAATTGTGCGAGAATATGTGATGTCAATGGGTGAGTGTAAGAAACATTTCATTCTCTGACCTACATAAGGGCTCCAACTCTCATGATCCCTGACAGTCACTCCCTGATAGAAGAGGACTTGATAGAAAATGAGTCCAGAACACCCTGTGTCAGTAATAGCAGTATGAAGCCAAGCAACAGGTTCTGTCCAATATCTGTGAGACAGGGTTTGGTTGGGCAGCAGGGGAAGTTATAGACATTCATAAGAGGTGATAAGACTCTTTTCAGAGGGAGAGTCAGTGGAAATAAGAGGTGAAATGCTAAGTATTAAACACAAATGCAAGGAAAAGCAAGTGTGAGTGAGGTAGCTAAGACAAGCTTCACCAGACTGTTTCTTGGAGGCTAGTAGGCCTGTTTTGTCCAGTCATTTGTACAGTAGCTCTCATACCATGATGTCTTAAAGAGTTTTTAAAGTCTCATACTAGCTAGTATGCTCCTGGTCCATGACCTTCATCTCCCGGGAACCCTTTCACCCTTGCATAAGTTGCCAAGGGATAAAGGATTCATCAGATTCCAGGACAACATCTCCCATGCCAGGCTTCAAGCTAGGGCCCTGTGACAAATGTCACTCTCTGGACAAATACTCATCCTTCTGAACACCAGAAAACTGAAGTCAAAAATTAAAAGGTAAGAGACACTTATTTGGAGGGGCAAGGTGGGGCTACTAGAGGCCCAGAGGGTGCATCTGCTCTGGTCCTCTCTAAGATGGGCATGGCCCTGGAGCAGGGATCTCACTCAATGGCTGGAGCCTAGAGGCAATTTCTGCCATCCCAGTAGAAAATAGAAAGTAATAACAGGGCAGAGATGAGAGATAGAAACTCTATTATTATTGTTGAACAACAGGATGCCGTGCATATTCTATCATTCATCTATGTTTCAATTTGGCTTATGTATCTCCTGGATCTGCCTACTCTCCAGAAGCCCCAGCCAATTGCTCCCCTTCAGCAGGTTGTTCTTAGGAAGGAAGCAGGCTGGTGGTGGCTAGTCCTGATCACCCCTGGAACAGAGAACTCTGGAGGGTCTCCAGTGCTGTCAGCCAATATAGAGTAGAATATGGCTGTGGCTCATGCATAGAGAAGGAAGGGCTGTGTTTAAATACTAAAGGCTTTGGATAGTAATAGGAAGAGGACCTCATTGAAAACCCACTTGTAGTAGCACAGACCCTCGAGGCAAGAAGCTGACCCTAAGAGCCAACCTCAGGCTAGGCCTAACCCAGAATATGGCCATCAAAGACAAAAAGGTAGAAACCTCAGTAGTTAGGAAACAGAAGAATAGTCTTTAACAGGGGGAGCCTGGAGGAACTTCCTTATCCCATCCTCAGGCACCAAGTTTGCTCTAACCCTTGACTGTTTGGTTTCACAGGTTTGTGCCCAGTTAGTGAGTTGTCCTTGAAGTATTTGCTGACACAGAAAGGCTCAGGCAATGCTGTGGTTATTGTGGTGGGTGGAGCTACCGAAGCCCTCTTGTGCCAGCCAGGAGCCTCCACCATTTTCCTCAAAAAGCGAAAAGGTTTTGTGAAGTTGGCCCTGAAGACAGGGTGGGTTCCTAGGTTCTAGCACTCTCTTGTCATAGGTCCTCTGTAACCCTCCAGAATGGTGTCCTTCCTGGGAACCCTGTAAGAGGGGGCTTTCTCTTCACTCTGATTTCTTCTCCCTACACCTTCACACTGGGGTGTCTGGGCCTCCAGATACATTTCTTTTTTTCTATTTTCTTTCTTTCTTTCTTTCTTTCTTTTTTTTTTTTTTTTTTTTTTTTTTTTTTTTGAAGACAGGGTCTCACTTTGTGATCCTTGGTGGAGTACCATAGCGTCATAGCTCACAGCAACCTCAAACTCTTGGGCTCAGGCGATTCTCTTGCCCCAGCCTCATGAGTAGTCAGGACTAAAGGTGCCTGCCATAACGCCCCACTAGTTTTTCTAATTTTTTTTTTTTTTTTAGTAGAGATGGGGTCTTGCTCTTATTCAGGCTGGTCTTGAACTCCTGAGCACAAGAAATCCACCCTCCTCAGTCTCCCAGATTGCTAGGATGATAGGCTTGAGCCACCATGCCTGGCTACCAGATACATTTCAATGGGTAATTTTCTTACTTGAAGTTGGAGAAAGAACAGCAGAACAAGACCTTTTACTTTCTGCCCATTAGTCTAGTAGGCTAGGGGTCTCGGAAAGTGAGGCTTCACTCTATATCAACTTGTTGACTGAGAGACCCACAGAACAGACGGCACTGGCCTTGATGCTGTGAGAATTGCCAAGATGCATAAGACAGTCCCCCCAAAAACCTATAATCTGGTTTAAGAAATAAAACACATTCATTCAGGAATTATTGAGTACCTATTAGATGTCAGGCATAGTACTAGGCACTGAGGATATAAAAATAAATATCTGCTCCTTGCAAACTCTCAGTACAATATGGAAAACAGGCACATCCACATATAATTACAACATATATACAGATTCCAACGACTTACCACCCAGACTGCAACTCTTGGCTTACTACTATCATCTCTCCCCCTGGATTAGTACAACACTTCTAGCTGTTCTTCCTGCTTCTATGCTGGCCTCCCCTACCTTACCCCCAGGACTCTATTCCCAGCTGAAGCCAGGAAAATCTTGTTAAATGTGAGTCAGATCATGTCACTACTCATAATACTGTGAGTGACTCCTAGGTCACTCAGAGGAAATGCTAAAGTCTTTAAAAAGGCTTATATGATCCTGAAAAATCTGGTCCTTAGCTACTTTACCCTCATCACCAGCTACTTTCCCCCTTGCTCACTCCATCACACCTGCACTGGCCTCTTTGCTGGCCCTCAAGTAGGCCACACACTCCCACTCTTGTCTTTGCAGGGCATATAGAACACTATTCTTTTTTTTTTT